ATGAAAACGAGTGAGCGAATTCGGACAGCCGCTGCGTACATCGGTTGTACACTCGTTATTGCAGTGCAATGTGGGATTGAATAAGCGCACTCAATAGGCCTATGTCACGAAAAAATTGAAGACCGGAAGTACGTCTTTTAGTAGGGATACGGCTCTTCCGGTTAGCTTTTTACAATGGCGGAGTCCGATAGATACCGTTGGACCAAGTGGCTAGAGCTATAACAACACTTGTACCCTTTCCTCAGTTTTGATGTTTCCACTTGAGAGTTTTCATTTACCATCTGAACCACATCGTCATATGTGACTTCAGGCAGGTTGCGGAGAGATTTGGTCCACGGCGTTGGACTATTTTCTTTAATCTTCTTTAAGCGCAACGGAGCAACTGTGTCTAAAGTGCTGGAAAAGAGAGTTAAAAGTTTCTGTCGCAATATCGAGTTCTTCTAAGCTATCTAGGATGCTGAGATGATGAAACTGATCAGGAAGATTATTAATAAAGCAACCTTTAGTGGCAGAAGTGATCTCTAAACCCTAAACTGAACCCTAACCCTAACCCTAAGGTCTAACATATTTGCTTTGCAGCCTTGGCTAAATGAAGCACAAAACTAGATAATGATCTGAGATGTCATCGCTCTGCTGCAGAATTTCAATAGAATCAACATTTATTCCGTGATAATATTAGATCTAGAGTATGATTACGACAATGAGTAGGTCCTGACACGTGTTGTCTAACTCCAATAGAGTTAAGAATATCTTTAAATGCCAATCCCAATGCATCTTTTTTATTATCTACATGTATATTAAAATCACCAACAATTAGGACTTTATCTGCAGCCAGGACTAACTCTGATAGAAAGTCAGCAAATTCTTTGATAATATGTTATAGCTCTAGCCGTTCGCCAGTAAGCTAAACGTTTCTATGGTAACAGCGAGTTGGACCAATCAGCAGACGTTGCTGCTACGCTTAGGATTGTGGGTAGTGTAGTTTTTTTTCATAAGATCGCAGATAAAACATGTTTTTCTTAAAACAAGGTTGATTTCATACGAACTTATAGCTTCTACAGGAGCAAAAACCTTCGTTTCACAACCTCATAGCTCGTGGTCAGTCTACCTCGGATGGTTTAGACATTAGGGCTGGTAATCTAAATCCTTATCGAGAAATACTGTTGACCGGAAGTTCTGAATCCCTACTCCGCGTTCCGGAAGCAGGAAGTTGGACATAGGCCTATAACGTCCTCTATGTTTTCGGACACTACTACAAATGGATGTCCCCTCAAATAACGCCCTATTTGAGGGTATAGGGGGTGATTTCGGATTCAGCTACTGAAAACATGCAGAAAGTGTAACACCATTTGTACCAGTTTAATTGTTCCCACTATTACAAGCAACCTGAAGTTCATAAAGATATGGAGAAAAAAAAATGAAAGCAGAGTTTAGCATTCAGATCAAGCCCAAAATAAATTATCAGAATAATACATTACTTCCACCTTGAAATGACTGACCTTTTGAGCCCTACTGATTATGTTGATGAGAATCTCCTGAGATCAATTCCTGAATTACCTTTCTATTGAAGCTGTCAGCAGATCAGGGAGAGAAATGCTCACAGAATATTACATGCACCATGACTGGTGCAGTTCCTGATACTACAGAGCACCCTCATTTCAATTTATTTAGCTTTAACTTAAAAAAAGGTGGTACAGGTGGGCACCCAAGTAAGATTTAAATTGATGTTATTTAAATGAAATGATACTAGAGTAAAAAAAAAAAAACTTGTTGCAAAGAGACTTACCCAAGTAAGAGTTAAATTACTACAATAAATTAATACATTAAAGGGGTCATGAACTGCATTGTTTTATAATGTTTCCGGGGGTGCACTTATAATGTGAGTATGATTTTTACATAAAAAATGTTCATAATTTAGAAAGAGAAGGCATTTTTCCTACACTGATTTTAACCGCCTGTGAGACTTCAGTGTGAACGCCCACTGCTGTGATTGGAGTGTGGAGCTAAGTTTCACTACACGCCTGAGCACATATATATTCAAACGCGCATACCTATGGACTGAACACGTGATGCGCATGTGCGCTCCGTCAGCGTTTCGTGGGTTTGCGTTTTTGAGGTCTGCGCAGAGATAACGGATAATCGTTTGCACCTTCGAACCTATTTCAGGGAGTGCGTTCTCGAGACACCAGGCACTGTTTTGTGCGGATGGGTGGCCGGAGCGCTTTAAGAGTTTTTCTGTTAGAACGGTGTCGTGTTAGCGGCCCCTAAGTTAATAACTAATGATCTTCGCAGCAGAAGTGAATCAATCAAAACTAGCTTTAGCTGGACAATATCTGTTGTAAAGCCTAAACAATGTTACGGTAATTTCTATTATAACTGTAAAAGCTGCTTTGAAACAATCCATACTGTTAAAAGTGCTTTATAAATGAAGGTGTCTTGACTTGGACACTAACCAATGCTTTCATCATAACTAACAGTGCAAACGCAATGTAAATAAGAGATTTGTTGATTATAACGGGAGTTTTGGTGAGAGTCCAGAACTCAGTCACTGATAAACTTGCGCTGTTTGATTGACAGCTCCAGCGATTGTAAAGGGAGCGTTCTTTGATCTCTTTTTATAAATAATTTAATCGAGCTTAACAATAGCAAATTTCAGCATCTGAGTGTTCAAAAAATGCAAATTTGATTATGCATGTTTTGTGGAGGCACCATAGATCACATATGATTGCAAACTGTCTGCTTCAGCAGTCAATAAGATTAGAATATGATGATGTGGTACAGTCCATTCCTGTTCCCCTCCATCAAAATGATTCAAATTGGTTGTCATCAGATGGAAGCATTTAAGAAACCATTTTGTAAAACGGATGCACTCAAAATTACCAGCAAATAACCTTGCGCATTTTCAAATCCCTCTTGGTTATTTGAAAATGTTTGCCATTGATTAATCGTTAATGTCAAGGTAATTTGACTGTCTGCGCTTATAGTCGTTAATCATAAGTAAAAAAGGTTTGTCAGAATGCAGTAACTATGACAGCGTCTCCTCTCAGACACAGATTAGGAACAGAGGGCTGACTCTTTAGACGTCTGCTTCTTGGTGCTTCACTTTGAGATTTGTGTCCATATGAATTACAGTTCTTATGCGTCTTGTCTTGATCCTACCATTCCTGAAACCCATGTGTTGCGTATCAGAACAGCCTGTCCTTGCACATTAAGATGCTTCAGTACTGTAGTCAGTCATTACTGTAAGTCTGCTTAGACTTGACTCATCGACAAAATAACCACTCTAAAAATTTCTAAAGCTTTGTCTTAGTTATATACATACAACAACCAATAAAATGTTGCCAGTTTCACATTCAGCTGTTTAGGCTAAAACTGACTTTTAGCTCAATTATTCATATAATTTTGAAACCCAGGTTCATTGAAATAAATGTGCCTGTGGCGACATTTTTAGGTTGCCATTTTGCAGAAATGTCACCATAGGCATGTATTTCCATTATTTCCAATAGTGATGAATCGGATATCTGTCCAATCAAAATGCCCTCTGTAAATGACCCTCCCCCTATTACCCCTGCAACTAACTAGCAATTGGCAAATATTGGTTCAATTTGTTGTTTTTTTAAATGGGGACAACACCTTCAAAATGTTCACCCAAACATCCAGTTTTAATCGCAAGTACAATGCGCTCATTTTTGGGGGGCCTTCAAAATTGTAACCTTTATGAGATGTCATTGTTTTTGTACTAGTTTAATAGCTTTCAAGAAGTTACTTTTTAATAGTAGTATGTAGTACAGCTACTTTTCAAAAGGGTAGTCTAACTGTATTGAACTACTAGCTTTAGATTTTCAAAGAAGCTTCAGCACAAATAGAAACTGAGAGACCCACTGAAGTATTCGTAGCTTTTCAGGCAAATTTACACCACAGCGCAGCAGGCACTGATTTTTATCAAGTGAGATTGAATCAGCTCATGATTCAATCATGGGCATGCTGGCACCTTTTCAAGCCACAATACTGAGCATCAGCAAACTGGGCTCATTCCTTCACTTGAAAACTATATAGAAGGAGGAAGAGTGCGTTGCCCCTTTAATCTATGGTAATGCACAATTTTTGTCATGTCTACTACAGATGACTTGAGCAGGTAAAATTAGTTTTATGTCTAAATTTTGTCCATGACTTATAGTCATGTGCACATTTACCTGTTTTGATAATCGCCAACTAAAGTCTAAAGATTACCCATGAATTTTAACAAAATGGTAGGTATGGGGTAAAGTGTGCCAGATGCTTCTTTGCTTCTAAGCTGTTCCAGTGATTACACGAGCTGAGCATCCAAATGAAATGCTACGACAGTGGTCTGGTTGAAAAATATGAAATCACAGACAGTTTTTATTTGTTTATTTATTTTTATTTGAGATTGCAGACAAAAAACTCAAAATAATTCAAAGAAAATGATCAAGTACTTCTCTCACAAGGTTATTGAAGAAGCAACAGTACCTCTCAAAGGGAAAATGCAAGGAGAGCCTTATTTCATATTTGTCCGCAAACTTGTTGCCTAGAATGTGGGATAGTAATATCTTGATTTGTTCAGCCCGATCAAGGATATTTTTGTTAACTTTCATTTTTTTCTATCAAGAGTAAAAAACCAAAATGTTGAACATGGTTCCCTTTCGAGGGAACTCCGCATCATTAGGGGCTTTCGCACCGGATAGTTAGGAACTATATTTGAGCTATATGAGCTAGCCACCAGGGTGGTCCCTGAGAACTATTTTTCCCCCTAGCCGTCACTTACGTCCTGACGCTCTGTTTGATTTTGGCGGCGCTGAGAACGCTCCCATTCAGCAGCGCTCCCATTCTCCGTCTTCATTAGTTTAACAGTCCTATCTAATGCATTATTAGATTTAACTGTTAAACAAAGAATTAGATAATAGTTTAGCTCTGTTTCTAGTGTGGTTCTAGTAGTGCCAAACATATTCTTACATAACATGTCCTCCTTATTTTTTCCCTAGCTCTTTTCAACCTCATCCCTGTCGGCTTAAGAGTGGTGGCCATTCAGGGAGTCAAAGGAGGTTTCTACATCGGCATGAATGGCGAGGGCTTCCTCTACAGCTCAGTAAGATTCCCCTTAATCAGTTTGCATGCCTGTGTGCGTGTCTATACGCGGAGGAATGCTGCATGCAGTGCATACCGTATTCTTGGAGTTCATTTATATTTATACACGTACTCTGTGAGCTCAGCTTCATTAGCACTAAAAAGTGAAAAGTGCTGCATTCCCACTGAGAAACCTTGTCTTTGCTATCTTGATTCAGTCGTTAAACCATTGCAGTGTAAACTTCAGAAAAAGGGCTGCTTTTAGCATGGCTTAACAGCGTGACAGCAACTGTGTTCCCTGTAGGCTTCGGTTGAGTTATGGTGGATGACAGGCATATGTTCTTGCCCCCACTCAGTCAGCAGTTGAAACAGGTTTGTGGAAAAGTGTCGGAGTGAGTTACGGACTTCTGACAGATTATATAACGGCTGGTCACAGAACTTTTAATCCTGTTAAAGACAATCTAAGAAGAAAGGAATAAATTAATTTCCTCTTACTATTGCCCATGAGGTTGGTTGGCATAGATTCGTTTCAGTGTACAAATCAGTTCACAAAAATTCCATAATTTATATAACCTAATGATAAACTCTTTACTGTGCATAAACTGTATATTAAATATGTACTTTGAAGACCAGAAAGAAGTAGGACATTAAGTGCATAGATGTAACAAAATTGACATGGTATCAGAATAATTATTTTTTAAAGACTTTTTTTATGAGAAGTGGGATATGTCTGGTATTTCATGTTCGTAGCACAAACTGACTAATAGCGCTGAGCTTTTGTATTTGAAATTCTTATAAACTCATTACCGTTAATGGCAGAAATAACATGCATGCAAAATTTGTTGGCTTCACACCATAAACAAGCAGAAGAAGAACGTGCACCAAAAGCAACAGGGCTCAAGTGGCTTCACTACTTGAGTAATAATTAAGACCCTTAAACATTATGAAACAGCTGCAGATTATATATATTTTCAATTCATCTCAATTAGGCAACAGATCAATATGAATGTCTTTTTTAAACTAAATTGACTGATGGATTAAAAATAGTGGTTCAAGAGCAAGATATGACTGGGATTGGGACAAACAATGTAACCAAGCAGTGAGCAGATGGCCTTATTCATCAAGTCTAGTAGTTCAGATTGACATATTGCTAAAGCAAGAGGAACATATTAAAGAATGTGGCTTTGAAACAACATCGATTTTTAATTAAATGGAGGAAAACACTCCCTTGCTATTTATATCGTCTCCCTTTTGGTGCCCATAATGTGTAATTAACTTTGGTTAATTAACTATGGTTTCACAAACATTGGATGCTTTTATTCAATATTTGCCAAGCAATGCCAGTGATTAGATAAGGGGACTGATTCCACAGATTTCTATTCAGTGGCAGTCTATGCATTTTAGATGAATTTTTATGTATGTTTTACTGTATAATGCGTTCTACACAATTTACACACTGCACTGTTTTATTCGTTTTATGTTTTGTATACTTTTTACTTTTTGAAGCTGCATCTACCTCTGCTGCTGTAATGTCTGAATTTCCCTCATGGGATCCATTAAGTCTTACCTTTCGGTTTACCTATTTCACAAAATCAGAAGGTGGGCACTTCTCTTTAATAAGTAACCATTTTTTCTTTAGTTTCTTAGCAAGTGCAAGTGCTCAGCCATGCAATGCAGGATGTAGTTTGTCTGGATTGTAGGCTATTCAAGCTACACACATACATACTTTATATAACAGACTTTTTTAATGACCAAGAAGTAAGTTCGGTGACACTTTAGAATACTGTTACATCATTGATGAATAACTACACAGGAACAAATGAGTAACACACTATTAACATAGTAACTACTAATAACTAACAAGAAACTCTGATTAATAGTGCTCAGTTGAATGTGGTCGTTCACTATTAGCTAATCAATAACTGCTGATAACTACTATATACAGGTTCATAATTAACTTAAATAATGCATAATATATAATTAATTGTAAAGTACAGATCATGGTAACCCATTAGTAATTAATCAATTATTACCTAATTCTTCGGTATGAATTACTAAATATTTGGATCAGTATTCTAAAGTGAAATAAAATTATAACTCTCTAGTAATGACTGAAATCATTGTACACTTTTGAGATTTTTGCTTTTGGATAGCAATGACTCGAGTGTTACTAAATCCTTCAGAAAAAAATACTAATTATTTGGATCAGTATTCTAAAGTGAAGATAGTGGAAACCCACTAATGACTCAAATGTTACCAAATCCATTGGAAGGAATTACTATCCAAACCCTACAAAAAACAAAAACGTCAAAAGCCTACAATGACTTCAGTAATTACCAGGGAGTTATCATTATTTTCACTTTAGAATACTGTTCCGAATAATTAGTAGTTCCTTCTGAAGGATGTAGTAACACTCGAGTCATTGCTCTCCAAAACCTTACAAAACCTCAAAAGTTTACAATGATTTCAATCATTACTAGAGTTATCATGTGTTTCACTTTAGAATACTGATCCAAATAATAAATAATTCCTTCTGAAGGATTAGTGGGTTACCATGATCTTCACTTTAGAACTAATTTTAAGCTCATCCAGCTAGTGTTTTGCGGTAAGGAAGGAGGAATTCTTTTTTGCAAACTCAGACTCTTTCTTGACCCAAAAAATGATAAAAGTGATCTCATCTTGTGCAGCAGAAGAAGAAGTGGTACAGTCAAAATCCTTGATCTGTAACTGCATGAGAGGATAATATATGAGCCATAAGTTTCGCGCTGACATGCAATACTCTTATTCGGTTTTTAATGCTTTATTTGACATCACAACCGACATAACAAATTAAATACTATGAGTCAGATACACAAATTATTACATTTGACGTCACTACCTGGAAATAACCCGATTTATGAATAAAATCTTGTAAACGTGGTTTACTTGTGTTGTTGGGTTATAGGCTTGCATGTAACCCCGGACAACAGGCTATTTCTATAAGCAAAAATGTTTCAGATGAAGTCACACCAGACGGTGTGAACGTGGACGGTGTGAACATCTTCCGTCAACTCGCTTTCTGATTGGGTATTGTTTTGTTTCACGTGATAATCTCCAGCGTGTGCGCTCGTTTGTCCTCGGGGTTCCCCCCACACAACAGGATTTCTGATCGTAAATATTCAACATGTTGAATATTTACGATTTGAGATCGGGGCGGCTCTGACATTCTTCCGAGCAGATTCAGCCACTCTTAACACACCTCTCACCACAGGAAAATCTGATAAAATAATCTGTAGAACCATCAAGATTTACATTTACGCATTTGGCAGACACTTTTATCCAAAGCGACTTACATTGCATTTCAAGATACACATTTACATTCTTATCAGTTCTTGCTTTCCCTGCGAATCGAACCCATGACCTTGGCGTTGCAAGCGTCAACTCTCTACTGTTTGAGAAGATAATCAGGACTTTACCTAGGATTGTCAGAAGGGGAGAAATTGGTCCAAAATTGCCCCGAATAGTATGTAGCCAGAATTGGTTGTGGCTGGACTTTCAAGGCCCCACCCATTATGTCAAGAGAGGTCCATTATGCTGGACGTCAAGCTCCGCCCATTGGCTCTGCATTGAGCGGCCTCTCTCTTAGGTAAGATGAGATTTACAGCAGTCAAACTCTTATATAATTTGTTTAATACAGTGCGATTGTCATAGAGGTTGTTAGAAAGTGTAATATTGATAAGATTTCCTAGGTTTGAGTAGTGGCCTTTCAACTCATCACCATGTTCCAGACGACTTCCCACACAGTAATTTACTCACAGTGCTCTGTCTTGTACATACAGCAGGATATCATTTCGCTTTTTAGATTTCCTCTGTTGGGGTTATTCAATCAGACCACTGTCTTTCATTGTTAGTTTTCCTTTGTTAAATTCCTCAGTTTTTATAACGATGTTGTAGGATTTTTTAAGTTTATGAGACTTTCCCTGTTTTGGATTATCTTGTGACATATACTGTACATGTTTGAATTAAATAGTTGTTATTCTCTGTTTAAGGTATATGTCTGAAAGATTTATGCAATGACGGATGTGAAGGTTAATGTTCTTTACTCCCTTCTAACAACTTGGCTGACTCAACAATACATCAACAAATTTCGGTCAATACATTTATCATAAGCTATAATGTTATTGTCTGATTGAGAGGTTCTGCAGAATTAAAATTTGAAGGAATCGATTTTGTCACTGCAGAGATGATGTTGTTGTCCTCCAGGGCTGCAATTACTTGAGGAAGTTTCCCTCATTATCTCTGGACCCCTGGAGATATGTTGAGAGGAGGTTGTGATTCCTTGCTCCATGAAGCTCGGTGAAGTCTTGGCTTTCTTCTCCCTGCTTTAATGATGTAGTTCTTACTTGCTGTGGAAGGCTTTGATCCTTACTTTGATCCTTGCTGGCTCTGGATTAATCAGCAACCTTCTAAAGCTCTTAGAGCCCCAAGCTATTGCAGAACACGGTCCTATCAATAGTTTTTCTGAATGAATACAGTTGACACTCTTATCTTGAGATAGTGTTTACATTGGCTCTATTTAAAATATTAAGGACATTTTAACACATTTTAATGCACTCTATGCCTTCAAAAGCAGCACATTGCAAGAACAAATTTGGTGTGAAGCTCTTAGTCAGAGACAAAGCAGTAGATTTTGTAAAGAACCTTGTAAAGAGTAAAATTCTGTTGTTCAGTGGTTTTTTTTTACTTCAAATCAGGAATATATATTTTAATCTATTTTCAAAATTATTTCTTAAATTATTTCTATAGAGTCCACCATGCATTTAGTCCTGTACAGTAAAGTCAATTTGTAAGTACCCTAAGCAAAGAATATGCACTTTTAAAGTACATTTTACAATAACATGCTTTAATAAATTATGATCTCTCCATGAGTAGAAAATGTTACAGATCAGTACAATAAAAGTGGTCCTTGGATATTTTTCTTCTGGAAAAAAAAAAAATCTTCTGGAAGATTTAGTGCTAAACTACTTTTGTCAGCCATGCTGA